CTCTCTCTATATGTATTTATGTATGCATCTAATTTGATACAGTTCTCACATATGAAAGCAGCGGTTCTTCACATATGTATCTATAGGTGTGATGCAGTGGTGTCAGTGTGGCTGTCACATCCAAGCAGCTTTTGTGTCTGTTCAGGTTCAGTAGTTTGCAGTTCTTTTTCATGAATCCACATGTTCACATTAACGCAACACCTACATATCAGCTGTTCAGAGAGAAAGCAGCAGCAGCAGTTTTCATACTTTAAGGGCTTTGACTAAATGAGGCTTTAAGTGGCTATTTTTAGATTCAAAACGCATTATAGTTTTACACAAAACATCTGGAAAGGAGACGACTTTAGTTTGATTCGTGCACCAAATTGAATCCATTCTTCCGTCTCGAGTCTTGCCTCAGTTTGGAAGTTGTTTATGTTTGCAGATGTGTTTGACCGTCACTTGGAACTCCAGAAAAGAACCAAAGATTATTTCTACAGAAAATGTTTCTCATGTCACATTCACAGTAAATGCAGCAATGGAAATGAGCAGATCCCCTTTTGCGATTAGTAGCCTATCATTCTAGCTTTAAATGAAACAAACGCATGAACACTACACTCACTGGATATTTGCAATAAAAGGCAACACACCAAAAGATGACAGGCGCAGTTGTGTATTTTATTAGCATGTTTAATTATTTACATAAACAGAGATCATGAGAAATATCACAAGTAATTTCTTCATAGATTCAGTATATTGTATACTGCATATACATAGAGTGTATCCTGCATTTAGTGCAGCATGCAGAGGAAAATGGGAGATAAAGAAGTGAGCACACGGTAGATTTCTCTTGCAGGGGTCTTACTTTTGCTATTGATCTCAATTATCAGAGCAGGACTCTTCGTCTGCATTTCTGCATTATGTGTAATTTCCTGCAGCTCCGGTAGAAGGCGCAAATGATTAAGCATTAATGTGTGTGAGAGACGAGAGCAGCTCAGAGGATCATTTGAGCCAAACTGCAGGATCCAGCAGAAGTGAATACTCTGAGGGAAAGGAGTTACACTTGATTTAAAAATAATGTAACTGGTTTCATGGTTTAAAATTAATGTTGCACATAGATGCTATTATTTCCACTATACCACAGCTGTAATTTTACACCATTAACCACAAGCCAATGTATTTACCATGATGTTTTTCGGTGCCATGTAATTATTCTCCCGAGATATTGCTTTAAAAGAAATTCACCAAACTTTGAGAAAAATCCCAACCAATCCTCCTGTAACAATAAACTGAATATTAGAATAATTCATTCCACTTTCATTAATTAGTAACTATTTCAAAACGACGTTGGAGAATCAGGGTGTAAAACATGTGTGCTTTTCTGATGTGGCGCTGGATTATACATGCGTGCTACCTCATATTCTAGCTCATTACACTCACTTCTCAACTAAATCTCTGAGGCAAGAGAAATCATTTGCTTGTACAAAGCCGAGCGCCTATTTCTGACTGAATCACTTCAGCCCGCAGCCCACAGCGCCCTAAACGCACCCTAATGAATCCGGCTGGGTATTCTGACAGACGATAATATACTAGTAGTTTCATGTAATTAGATAAGCTGTGAAAACTTTGCAGCAGGTCTCCCTGGCTGCCTGTGTGCTGCAGCAGCAGTGACACAAAGCAGAGGCTCGGTGGCCTTTTTTTTTTTTTCCTGCAGATCCCAACACGTCTGGGCGCAGAGCTGCGGGGCTGCAAAAAGTTTGACCTCAGTTTGACTCCTCGGGCTCCCAGTTTGCTCTTTGCTTCTTCAAACCGCCGCGGACGAGCAGCGATGCAGACGATCACAGAGAGCCGGACAGTGATTCACATCTCTGACCTGAAGCTGTTTTATTTATTTATTTATTCATGTATTTTATTTTTACTCAAAACTGCACGGATTAATAATAAAGTTCAATTCGCGATATTTTCTAACAACATTTCTCTGAGCTAAAAATAACTGGTGGGGACTAAAAATAGTGATATGCAACCCAGTGAGGAAAACACTTCTTAGACATTGAAATTTCTGTATAATACGTGTGTTTTCATAAACCAACATAAAGCCTGCAACTTGCCTTTGTCTCCCAACAGCACAAGTCAAGGCGCACAGGCCATCTAATAACGCCTTCATTGGTTTCGCCAGTCAAACATGCTGTCAATTTACATTCAAGCGTTTGAAAGTAATACCTGCTGATTTTATTGAAACGACTCAAAGCATTACCGTCAACGCAAAGCGGATTAAACAGAAATGACGGTATTTGCCCCCCCTGCTCTCTTTTCAGGATGCCAAAATGCGCTGACCCTCACGAAAAAGCAACTCCAGGAGAGAAAGTGGAGCTCCACTTTGCTTTTATAGACGCTAATTGAAGGAGCTTAATTGCTTTATAACGCCATAGTAGTTATTTTACAGTGATGTGATCTCCTTTCATGTTAATTTAGGCTCATTTCTTCTCAATGACTGACTAGAATTTAGTGTACCTTGTGGTGTAGTGAGCAGTATTATCCTGTTTGTGTTACACTAAACACACACGTTTATCTGAAAGTGGATTAAAACATCAGCTTCTCCTTTAATTAAAAATATCTTCCCTTGTAGAAAATATCTCCTAAGATTTTTAATAATTTAATATGCAGTAAAAACATAAAAGGAATGTGAGAAGGAGAGCTTCTACTCACCAACAAATAAGTGAATTAACAAACTCGATGAGCACATTTACACGGGATTATTGTTTGATCCGGCATCTTTGTGCGTAAAAGTCCGTGCGTCCTGCGCGGCTTCCCGGCTTCTCTGCTGTCCGCGCCCCGGAGCCTCGCCGGCTGGACTGCGGGAGGCTTTGATAGTCATTTCATGCCTGTAAAATTGTCCCATCGGATCCCAGCGCTCGGGTTTTTTTTTTTTTCTTGCCACAGGAATCACCGGCGAACGTGTGAAGCCGCATTATCATGTTATGACACCGTTTCTGGCACCGGGGGCAGATGATCGATGACTGGACACGCTGCACGGGGGGAGAAAAAAACTCCTTCAAACAGGCTGTCACCGACCAGCAACACCTCATGAGTATAATCAGGAGATAATGTGGCTCTTTTACACACTCTTCATTCATGTATGATGAGCTGAGAAATAAATACAAAAAAAAAAAGTTGGGTGAGCCTCTCAGCAAGTGGAAAACAACCGCAAAAATAAACAAAAATCTACTAGAATTTGTGAAAATGCTTCACGTGCGCGTCTTCCCTTAAAATTATTCCTGTCCATGTAATTTATCCTGTTTTTAAATTACTTCATATCCTTTGAAATATCCCATAAATATCTTAAACACATTTTGAGGTAGTTAAACTTACTTTTCCTAATTAAAAAAAACTTGATAAACTAAATGAAATAAGATTTGCTCCCTTTTATATCCCAGTGAGGAATCAAACATAACGAGATAACGTAAATTCAAATTCATCTTAATTTACATCCACACATTACTGAGTGGTGTCATTACTGCTCTTGAAATTACTCAAGAATCCAGGTTTCTCTTCCATAAATTAAAGCTCATCAATATTTGACCAAACTTTTACAATCTCTGCTCTGCAAACCAGTGAAGACTCAAGCGAACGGTTCATTATGAAGAGAGTTGAATCAATATCAGTATCTACTCAGAGAGAGGAGAGTTGACAAAATCCTAATCTGAATATGCGGCTGTTTGGTTTGGAGAAGTTCAGTCAAAGTGTGAGTGCATTTACAAGTGAGTAATTAAGCTTGTGGTGTGAAAATTAGTGTGTGTGTGCGTGCGTGTGTGTGTGTGTTTGAGAGAGAGAGGGAGAGAGATCTTGGCCAAATATTGTGTGTTTTTGGTGAATTCACAGGCTGCAGAGGCTGATAGGAAACGCAAAGTGTGTGTTTTCCACTGGCAGACGACGTTTTGTTTTGCGCCTTTCTTGCCAATGTGGCCTATAACCGATCAATCAGCCCGCGGATCGATCATGTGGGGAGCCAATAGGGGGCTCCCATCTCTGTGCCTCTCTGCCATTGGACAGCCCGGGCAGACTGGAGCGACCCATTCAGCGCTGCTGTGGGGGAGAGGGACAGACGACATGTGAACTGTTGTTCAGACATAGAAGATGCTTTGAAAAGCCACTGCAACGTTTTCCATGTTTAAGACCCAGCCTTCACACCTCCTCTCAGTGGAAAGATTGAGACTAATTACACTGCTTTTGCATTAAAAAACAATCAATTCTTGAATTTAAATCTAACCAGTGCTGCCACTTAACTTGGGAAAAAGTTGCATTTATTGTTCTGTTTCTCTGGAGTGCAAGCAGTTCAGGTCGTGCATTTCCTGTCTTACATCTTATGCAAAGGTGGAAACAAACAGACTGTAATACTGTTCATAGTTAATGAACTGCGAGAGGCCCAAAACCTGCAAGACTGGATTCTGGCTGCAGCATACAGTGTGGATTTCATGCAGACGTGACGCTGACAGCTCATCAGAGCTCTGGGCTGACTATAAAACTATTCAAATGAGCTGGATTTAGATCTATGATTTCATTTATGACCATAGAAATGAAATGATTGATTATAAAGTGAAACCCAGCACAAACTAAATCTACACTTCAGACCACATAGGCTCTTGATAACATACCTGACAATACCTCACAGCAAAGTTGAGAGCAGGTTCAATAAGTCGTAAAAAATAAAGTGTTTACAGGCAGAGAAGTGGATGATGAAGGCGTCATCCCGACATTCAAACGCGTCAGTGTTTACAAACGAGTCCAGGCTGACGAGTAAAGTCGGTTTATGAGGATGAGACATGCAGCTGGAGTCATAGGTGGATATTCTGTGTTTATCCCCGTGTTGTTCCAGCTCGCAGTGCGGCTGGCTGGGCTCGCTTGAGTCCTCCCACCACCCCCCTCCTCTCCGCACGACTTGCTGCAGCCCGGTGCGTTGTGTAAGACGCGACCTGTTATGGCCACCACTACTTCCGGGTTTCAGCAGTCTGGTCGGGATCCTCCGCTCCTCCTCAGCTCAACACACACATCCATTGTACACAAACGGGCAGGCGGCTCACGCATACACACGCACTCACACACATGCAGACACACACACACACACACATAGAGACGTACACACGCACAGCATCGATCGTGGCTCCTTTAAGAAAGCCTAAGCCAGAATTATCACCCCACCTCCTCTTGATCTCTAGACGCTTTTGCATAAGAAAATCAAGCCGGGAGCCGAGAGTGATCAAAGAAAACGAGAGGAGAGCTGCTTCATTTTTTAACTGTGATTGTGACCATTAACATTTAGGTGGTGCCGATCCCGTGGAGACGCGCGTCGGACCATCATTCATCCGGTACTTTTGACAAGCCCTCGCGTTTTGACTGACAGGCGGAGTGGCAAAAAGCCATGAGAGTCGCCAGTTCTGTTTGAGGGGCTATTTTATTTTCACCCTGGTTTTGGGAAAGGAGTCTGGCGCCGCTGCCCCGAGGATAGCCGAGGACCTATTCGCCGCGCCTGGGCTAAACTTGCGCAGAAAGCGGGGGCTGGCTTCATCGTTCCGTGGAAAAAAAAGGCATACGGGATTTTGGCTGAAACATCTTCCCATTTATTTGGATTTTGTTTCTTCATTTCGTCTCCACCCTGGCCTCAGAGGGGATTTATCTAAACTGAAAGGACGACCAGGGAGTGAGGAGGGTTATGGCGCAACGGGTACGTAGGGCTATCCCCCCTAAAAAAGTTTCTCTAAGTCTACTGTGCTTGAATGCAATCCTGCACTGTAACGTGGCTTAATGACACACATACCCGCACGGACACACACTCGCGGCGAAAGTTTCTGCCGTCTCGCTGACACATGGAGACACAATTTCACGTTTGTCGTCTTTTTGGCACGGTATTACGCACGGCCACACTCGTTTGCTCCACAAACCGGCCCACCGAGGGACATTGGAAGCGTGATCATATCTCACATCGGCTATGTTTTTTAGATTAGTTATGACAGGCCAGTTACTGGAAGCGAAATGGGGGAGGGCATAGAGGCAAAACAAATCTCCGCATTTCTCCTCAGACTGTTCCGTCAAGATTTCAGGTTGAGTGGAGCGTTTATGAGCAAAACATTTAAAAAGAAGAAAAAAAAAAAATCCTAATTTCACCGTCAGTTCTTCTGCTTCATGCTCAGGCTGTCCACTGTAAAGTGTGCTAAAAGACGCAATATTAGCATAATGCCAGTGAGGCAGTTTTTAGTAATGAGGTGATGACAAACGCTTTGATTCATACACCCCGGGACTGCTTCAGAACAGCGGCTGGATCTTCACACGGGCAGTAAACAGTGTAAAAGCAGAGATGTTGTGGACACACTGGCCACATTTAGCTGATTAGTCTGGCACCGGAGCTGCACCACGCTGGGGTTTGCACCTCTTTTCCTTTAGGGTCGAAATGCTCAGCTTTAAGCGATAATGCTTTTTACTCTTACCCGGCACTTGTTTGTCACTTTCAGAGAGCACTATCAATAATTCAAACCCCTCTTTTCTTAATCTGTTAGAGAAGCAGACCTCAAATAAAGATTTTATTTCAGCTTCTGCAGACCCGAATCAACGAGCCAGCGTGTTAACAACCCAGCAGCGTGTTTAATAACTACCAAACAACAAGGGGAAGACGACTCTACATTATTTAAGTCAAAACTGACACGTGAAAAAAGTTTGAATATCCAGCTCCGGTTTAACATGGTCTGAAATACACAACACGCGTTGACTTGCTTTAGTTGCATGGCACTAACCACAGTGTGCTTGATAGGTAATAACATGCTGCACAATTATGAGCCTTTAAAATTAGAGAACACTGCAATTAACAAGTTGAGGACATTTGTTGTTGTTGTGCACAGTGAAAACGCTGGACAGCAGGCTCATAAAACCCAATTGCTCAATGGTAATAATAATAATAATAAGGATAATTCTGATAACAGAGCCACGTTGCTATAGTTTCACTATTTTGTACTCTCAGTAATTTTGAACATATTGAATAATTCATGTTTGTTGTCAGTGTGAACGAGCTGAGAACAAAAGTAGTTTTCACTTCAGAATAAGTTGCTGTAGTTTTCCTTCTGTAAACAGCGTCCTGCTGAACAAGTCACTTCGACCTCAGTCTGTAAAACTTGTTTTCTTAAACTATAAAAAAAATTAAACAACTCAGAGGGGGGATTTGTTTCTCCTGTTTTGCCTGTTTGACACGTATCAGTCGTTTGAAAGAAAACTAAAAAACAGATCGGTGCACTTGTGTCAGGAAAAACACTTCAATGGAGAAAAATGTTGAAACGTTTCGACTGTTTTTGGAAATTAATGAAACTATTTCGCTCCGCTGACAGATTTTTACTTGACCCTTTTTAAAAGAAAAAAGAAAGTCTCTCTCCTCCAGCCTTCAAGAACTTTTATAATATTTTCCTGACTTGTGCTTTTACAGCAAAGTTAGAGCCAGAGTCTGATATATTCTTGTGCATGTGTATTCACTGTGGACCCGCGTGTTTGTTGTGTGCAGTACGAAGACTTGCCCCACTACGCGATGGACGGGGTGGGCATCCCGACCACCATGTACGGAGACCCGCACGGCGCCCGGTCCATGCAGGCGGTGCACCTCAACCACGGGCCCCAGCTGCACTCTCACCAGTACCCGCACACCGCCCACACCAACACCATGCCTCCCAGTATGGGCTCCTCCGTTAACGACGCTCTCAAGAGAGATAAAGACGCTATATACGGGTAGGTGCAAGCCTCCGGTCCGCGGGGAAACTCGCTCTCTGGCGGGCAGGCGTGGATCCAGGCCCGGAGGGAGCAGCCGGGGTGGGCTAGTGGGTGCAAAGTCAGAAACAGGAAAAACAACGCCAAATGTGCAGGGGCTTCTTTTCAGTGCAAGGGTGCTTATTACGGAACAACACCGGCTCCCTGCCCGGGACAAGCCGAGTGTCCCGCTCAAGTGTTTGAGCAAAAACACTGGAGCCCAAAGTGCTGCACAGGCGCTGAGGAGGAGTGTGTCTGCACGGGGCTTCTGTTGTTCTTTAATTTTTGCACAGTTTGGAATTTAATGCTTTTAGCGTCACTCATGTTTACCACATGTTTCTGCTGAGTAAACAACTGAACAAACACTGGAGGAGTAAAAAGGAAACTTGTTGAGGCTGTCTCATGGATGTCCTGCTCTTCAGTGGTTCACTGAAAATTTTATTTTCACTCTAAAGAATAATGACGAGACAAAGCTTTATTTAATTACAACTTCTATTTTTTATCATTATTTTTATTTTTTAGAATTAACTCGCTCGGTTTCTTTTCTACGTTTCATCCTTAATTATGAGCAAAATAATTACCTTCTCTCCTTGAACCATTTTAATTAATTGTGTGTAATGTGCCAGGCCTCTGTAAATTAAAAATATATAATGTTGAAGGGAAATCTGACATATGCATGTCATTTATTATTTTACAGAGGTCAATTAAAAATTCCAAGCATTGTGTTTTCACGGTGGCTGAACATGTCACTAAGAGTTTCACCATCTGACGCCATAATGACACAACTTGAGGAGGCATGTTGCCCTGAAAGCTTTACCAGGCTGCACATATTTACTCTGATGACTTAAAGAACAAATAATACATAAATGTGCGCACACTCATTCACCTACAGCTTCAAAGGATTTGACCAAACACACACACACACACACACACACACACACACACACACACGATCCAAACGGAGACCTGTGCAAGAAATTGTTTGACTGACTCTAAAGCTTTTATGCTATTAGGCGCGCCTAGATTTAATCACAGGAGTCTGCCCGCTGTTTGCAGCCCTTCTCCGAGCCTCTGCATAATATAATAGCAGAGGCTGCAGCAGCAGTCCCCATGGGCGAGTTGCTGAAGAGTAGCATGGCTGGCTAAATCTAGCCTGGAGTAGTCTTGACCCCGGCGCTGTTCTCTCTGGTGACATTTGCTATTGTGTGTGTTCCCAGGCACCCCCTGTTCCCCTTGCTTGCACTGATTTTTGAGAAATGTGAATTAGCGACTTGCACCCCCAGAGAGCCCGGGGTGGCGGGAGGAGACGTCTGTTCATCGGAATCTTTCAATGAAGACATAGCAGTGTTTGCAAAACAGGTCAGGAGAGTTTGACTCTTTTTTTTTTTTTTCTCTCTCTCTTCTGCATGCTCGGGCTGGTTGAGCTCTTACCTGCATGTCCAAAGTGTGGAGCTCTGACTTTTGTGCGTAAAGTTAAATCTGCATTGAGAGAAAAATAAAATGACACTCACAGATAAAAAAAAAAATTTAAAAAAAGTTGTAAAGTATGTAAAATGTTTTAATTTCCTACAATGTGTTTGCTGTGCGTAAAGTGGGAATTAACACACACATTTTTCAATACTTGCATGTATTATTTAATCTTACGTTATATATTATTTATAACTTTATAACTGTTTATATTCATGTATTTTTTGAAAATGTTTTTGCTTTTAGATTCGGGCAGAAAAGCCTTTATTTTCATCGAATCCAGAATTGGATAATCTGGTAAGATGCATAATATTTTATTTCAAGTCACAAATGAGATTTGTCATATTTGATCAGGGTTTTGAATGTAGCAGCTGTTGTTTGCATGTATAATGTACATGTGTGTCAGAGAGCCATGTGTGGTGCTGAAAATTGAAAGCACGATTGGAGGTGATGTTCCTCTTTTTGGGCTGTTTGATATCACGATGGCCCCCGGTTGTATCTGCAGATGAAGGGCCGCTGTTTGGCAGCTGTCACAACCCTTTGAACTCTGCCTGGAAACTTATTCTGTTCCTGCTCTTCACTTTGTGCAGTTTGGTGCTTTGACTGTGATATGAGAATAACGTTTTCCTCACGACTAGTTGGTGGCTAATAGATCTCTGACTCTGAGGCTTATTGCAGCGCCAGCCTGTGCTGTGTGCCTGCTCTCCATATTGCAATAACGTCCAAGTTTTAATATCAGTTCCACATAAAATCCATTCACATGAATATTTTCCTCATCTGCAGTTACTTGTATTGAGAGAAACGTGCCTGTTTAATATCAAGAGATGTGAGCAGCTCATTTTTTATTGTTATTTTAATTTTTCAGATGATTCAAGCCATTCAAGTTTTACGATTTCATCTTCTGGAGCTGGAGAAGGTAATATTCTCTCGCCATTTCTGTCCAGTGTGCCACTTCAGACCTATGGGCTGTATTTGCATAAATGTATTTTTGCTAGTCGGTTATAATTAGCGTCAAAATCAATCATGGGGCCATTTCTCTTCCGCGTTTAATCACGACGCAAGCTGTTACAACTGGAACGGATATCTCTGTGCCCAAATCTCCCCGCACGTTTTAATGAAGTTTAATGCTGGCAGAAATTGCATGCAAGGTGAAACATATAGTCGAACTTTTGCGGGTTTTTTAGAAACGATTCTCTGTGGAGGGCAAAAGGCCCCAGGCAGCCATCTGTGGATAGAAGGAGTGGTGGGTGTAAAACTCTGATTTGCCTCCGTATCAGATGGACTACAGTAGTCTCTACAGTCAACTTTAACCTGAACTTTAACACCGCGAAACACTGTAAAAGCTGTTAAAAGTTTTACTTTTATAACTCATCTCTGCGCCTCTCTCACAGATCTGTGACACAGGTTGGAGCTTAAATAAAAGCTGTAGCCATGTTGTGCAGCAATGAAGAAAACTCACTCCTCTAAATACAGTTAGAAGCTTCACTGCACTGCTTTATTTTTCTGCACATGCATCTGACATTTTAGTGTCCCATGCAGCAGGATGCGCCGCATTAGCGGTGATAATGTAATAAGTAGCCGAAATGAAACAGTTTACCTTAAATGTCAGTCAAGCGGGTCACCCTCCTCTAATGGCCACTACCTGGGGCACCGATGATGAATTTAACACGGGTGTTGAGTGCGTTGTAGCCCCTGAGCCCTCTTGTCACTGTCAATTTTCGACGATATCTCTATTTTGAGAGGAGAAAAAAAAAAAAATAAAGTTAGTATCACACAGCCCGGGTGGTGCGCGCTGCCAACACGGCACGGCACGGCACGGGATCTGGACACGCCTCATCCTGGAGGAGTTCAGTGATCTATTTTCACATTTTATAATTTCTGAGCTAAGGTGAAGCAATATATTTTTTTTTAAAAACGTTTTGGAGGCAAAATAAATAAATAAATCATATTTAATAATTAATCACAGCGTCAGTCATTGTTTCATCTTTTAAAATAGTTCAATATGTTAGAAGCAACAACTGTGCGGCGGTCATCAGGGTTTTCCCAAATAGCCTAAAAACTCTTCGGGGCTCTTTTGCATGTCAAAGGCTGTAGTGTGTGTGTGTGTGTGTGTGTGTGTGTGTGTGTGTGTGTGTGTGTTGTGTGTGTGTGTGTGTGTGTGTGTGTGTGTGTGTGTGCGTGCGCGTGCGAGAGAGAGAGAGAGAGAGTTGCACATGTCACTGCTGTGTGATGATGTCCCTTTTGGGTGAGTGTGTGACGCCTCTGCCTCCTCTCCCTGTAGGTACACGAGCTGTGTGATAATTTCTGTCACCGGTACATCAGCTGCTTGAAAGGCAAGATGCCCATCGACTTGGTCATAGACGACAGAGAGGGCGGGTCCAAATCAGACAGCGAGGAAATCACAAGATCATCGGTGGCCCTTGATCAGGTACATCTCTTCCTCTCTCCCTCTCTCCCTCTCTTTGTGTGCGTGTGTGCGTGTGTGCGTGTGTGTGTGTGTGTATGTGTGTGTGTGTGTGTGTGTGTGTGTGTGTGTGTGTGTGTGTGTGTGTGTTGTGGCGCCGTGTTCTCCCTGCTGGTTATTCAGCTATTCTGGGTCACTACTCTGCTGCGCTGTTATTTGCATATGATTAGGGCCGTTTTACATTCCATCCATCGGAATGAAAAATTTTCTGAATAACGTTGCTATTATTGGCCCATTAAGACTTGAACCCGGAACCGACCTGGGAAGATTAGCTCGAAAAAGCATCGCCATAAACTTGACCTGTTTCATGTCGATTTTAATTTAGTGCCTCTCTCTCCATTTCCCTCTCCCCTCTCTGTCTCTTTTTGAAACAAAACCAAACGTTATCAGCTCCTCTCTCGTCGTGAAGCCCAGGAGAGAGCAGCAGCAGCAGCAGCAGCAGCAGAATGGGCTGCAAACTGTGGTTTAGGTGCCTTGGTTTCTCCACTGTGAAGTTCACGGTTCATTACGCGTCTTGTCAGTATTTTTCCTTAGACATGAGTGCACATTGCTTATCGAGACCCCTCCTCTCCCCCTCCTTCATTTCGCTCAGAGCGCACAGATTCAGCGCCAATAAGAGCGTTTATTTTCGAAAGCTATAGAAGCAGCGGGTATTAAAGGTAGATTAGGGAGTGTTTCCTTTTGTGCAGATATCAGAGATAACCACAGCCTTCATTATGTGCTCCACTGACTGTTGGCACTCCGGGGACATTGTAGTGTGCGCACAGGCATGACCCTAATGGTCCACACACTGCCGTTAAATAATGATAACAGCAACCGATGATTAGAATTATGCAAATCTGGATTTTCGGCCATTAATAGCTCCAGTCATTTGTGCGGGAGACGTGGTTGCAGGCTATGAGACCATGTTTCAATAAGTTCAACTCTCCCAGAGTTTTAAGGAATAGTTTTAGGAGAGTAGCGGCTTTAACCTATGGATACCGATGAGGGGAAAAAAAAAACAAGTGTCCAAATTAAAGGGATTAGTTGAATAGTCCGACATAAAAAGTAATGAAGCGATTAGGCTAAATAATTTAAATCCGCGGACTTCCATATGGTTGAGTGGCTGGTCTGAGTGGAGAGAGAGACAGCCACCGGCTTTTATGTCCTGGGTTCAATGGCAGGACTGGGAGCGGACTGGGGCCCGACTGGGAGCACCCCCACCCCGGCGCGCATGCACTCCTCTGTCCCCGGCCCTTATGTCTGATTATGGAAATGAGAAAGATCACCCGGAAGATAATACTTCATTTAATCCAGAAACAGAATTAAATAACACAGACGCCACTTGTGCATTTAAGTGTCTCTTTGAACGGCTCCTTGTATTCTCTCGGGGATTCTGTTGTCGAAAGTTTTTTTATAGACAGGTCAGGACATGAAGGGAAGCCTTATGGTGTATAGATATGGAAATGGAGTGTGTTAAAACCCATGGGTTTGTAGGTGTATGAAGAAAATTACGTTGTGCTTGGGGGCACTGATGCCGATCTTTAATTGACTGTAAGATGAAGACGTGGCCTAATTTAATATAATGAAGGTCTTCACATATAGCCAATTCAGGACACAACCACACAAGCTTATGTTTACGCTGACAGAATAATATAAATCACCCACAGGCATAGTTTGCATTAAAATGCAGGGAAAACTTTTTGACAGATGTGTAATATTGAGGGATGGGCTGATGTTCCAGTACAATAACATAGAGACCGTCCACAGCAGCAGGCTGTGTGTAAATGGGCATATCTAAACAGGGAGAGGTTGCATGCCTCTCTCTGCTGAATACTTATATTGTCAATCTAATGGCACTGCACTTCATGACTTACTTGTGGCTGAATATATATTTTTTGAATTTTGTGGGCTATTTTTGTGACATCTTATCTGCAGTTGTTAGGCAGTGACATCCTTAACGAATTTGCGTTGTGTGTGCATTATCTCTTTCCATATGTATTTTTAATATATGCCCTCGGGCATAAAGTTGAAGTGGACTGGAAAAAAATGCTGAGAATTTGCACAAAAGAACAATGTTAACAAGACGGAGAAAGCAGGCTCATTTATTCATAAAGCAATTTATTCCAGTGAGGCGACTGTAGCAGGAGAGGAGAAAAAAAATGTCAGAGGAAAAAAAAATACTTTGAATTTATTAAACTCAACAATTCAACAACGCTGACTTTCTTGCTGCATTATGCACCCTTGCGTCATAACAGTAATTTTCAGAATATTCTTTACATGGCTTTACATTGTTTTCTTAGTCTGTCTATGCAGGCGAATATGGAGGGACGCTGAGCGCCCCTTTCAAAAGAAAGCAGAGCATAGCTGAGAGGTGAAAAAGTCAGAGAGGCTCTGCGCTGGCTTGTGAATGCAGCCCAGCTAGTTTGGGCTCACTCTCCTGTGCTCGTGTGTGTCTTTCTGTGTGTGTGTGTGCGTGTGTGCGTGTGTGTGTGTGTGTGTGCGCAAATGTGCACAAGCTGTCTATAAGTGTATGCATATATGTGTATGTCTGTGTGTTTGTGTGTACGCTGCTGCATGTGCATGTGTGTGTTCAGACTGGCCTGATAAATGCAGCACCCCCCTCAGGTGCTATGTGAGTGGAGTGACTGGTTAGCACCAGTTGGACTTTGTTAACCCTTTCCCTGCCGCTCCCTGGAGAGCTTCCCACCATGTTTGCCTCATTTCTTCACTTGAGCAGCACATTTTCAGCTGCCCCATTAGACATATACATCCTGCACTGAGCTCAGCTGTGTAGAAACATAAAAGGCACAATAAAATTCTATTATTCTGAGTGAATTTTGCAGAAGCCTTTAATGTGGAGAGGCTTGTGTCCACACTGACTATGTCTCTCTCAGCCCTGTTGTTGTTGTGGAAGTGTGCATGCAGTCGCTCTCCTGATTGCCATCCCTATTTGCCTGGCACACATGTTCACCTCAGCCGAAAGAAGCAGGGAGGCATTTCCACGCCGCTGTACGTCATTTGCACAGTTGTCTTTAATTGCACAGAGAGCGAGAGGAGGGGCACAGCAATTTGCTAATGAACTCCGAGGGCCCGGGCTCTCCACTGTAGAGCAGAACACTACTAATAGTGCTGAGGACTCACTCCAAGTCTCAAGAGCTCCTCTACTTGATTGAGCCATGCAGGCTGAAGTGGGGCTGGAAATAATTGAAATTTCCGTTAAAAATATTCTCCGCCTGACTTTTTGTGGATGTGAGGGAGACTTAAATGATTATGAATGCTCAGCAGTTGATCTGCTGAGTTAATTTAGTGGAGAGGTATTTTTATATTAGAGAGGCTTTGTGGAACTGGCATTTTCAAAGCATTATGTTTTGTTTTGTTTTTTTTGCTGTTGAAATCATGTTAAAAGAATGTAGAATAGCCTGCAATCTGAAATAACAACTATACATTTGAGATCTGTTGCTTTTTGCTGTATGTCCCACACAATCTTGCCTAAACAAACCCTGCTTGTGTGAGCTTAGTGTTGTGGTCACTGTGTAAGAATTTTCTCTTGATAGCGCTATCGCGGTATCTTTTCCCAACAATTGGCACTGTTATGCCATACAAGTGCTGGTTTCCAGGTCAGTGAGACCCAGCAGTGTTGGTTTAGGTAACTCTGGCGGTCAAAAAGTGACCCCTGCCTCCTCCCCCCCCTCCCGCCTCCTAACTCAATGGAAACCCTGACCGCTGGGGTCAGCCACTATTTTCCTAATCAGTACACCGCTATCGCTAATCTATCCGCTTCTCGTTGAAGTATGGATCGAGTTACACCCGACTTAACAGGCGCTCACTCTCTCTTTTTTCATTCCCTCTCTCTCCTACAGTGGCACGCTGCTGTTCTTAGTACAAACTTTGAATCATCGTGGTGATTGTTGGTAATAGCAGCTTTTGTAGATGAATAGAGGAGAGGTTTGACCCCCACTCACCCCCCTCCCTCCTCTACACCCCCTCCTCCCTCCCCTCTCCTGAACTCCCCTTTTTTTTTTTTCCATTGGGGAGTGAATGTGGGGCGGCTGTTAAGGATTCAACAAGTGATACAAAGAGGCGACCACGTGACTTGTGTGTTTCTTAGCCTCTTTATTATTGTGGTGGAATAGCAAGTAGGGGTGATTCTGATTAAGCAAATCAAGGCCAGAGAGACTTCAAAGAATAGGAACGTCAGGAGCTTCTTATACGCCTTCATATATTTTCAGACATCCTCAGTGCATTTGTTTTTTTTCACTAGGTTCTAGATTCTTTTGGTTGATTTATTAGATGTTTTTAAGTCATGTATTATTGCTGGAAGCTCAGTGGAGCCGCACTGTGTCACAGATACTCCGTTGTGATAGCCACAAGATCCCGATTGCAAATAAAGTTCTTGGCTAGTGTCTCGTGTTACTTATGATGGGCGGCCATGTCTGTCCCCGAGGCCTGCTGTGGTTTCTTTGGCTAAGTAAACAATAACCTGGCTTAACACATGTGTACTTAGCTAATGGAAAGTTCCTCTCCCCCTTAACCCCCTGCGAGCCTCTGACAATGGCCACCGTCACAAACAACCCGTCTCCAAGGAATCTGCAGAGAACATCCCAGCGCAGCGGCTGTAAGTCAAGCTACGCTAAGCTAACGAAGAAACCACAACAAAACATGTCATTAAGAAGCCACGCCTGCCTTTTCATTCACAGCTGAAAAAAAAGGAATATGCTCTGTTTGGGGTTAGATAGCGTGGAGGGGAGGGCACTCAAGTTAATGTTTTTGTTTGGATTTCAGCTCACAGAGAGTAAACAAGGAGTCTGTAGCGAGAGCTGAAGGGGAAGAGGCCACAGAGAAAGAAAATCAGAAAGAAAATCAGTTTCCGTGAGTGTCATCTAAATGGACTTTGAAAGCTCTGGTAATTATCTCAAACATGTAATTATCTTTGCTTGTCTCTATGAGGTTAACCCACCGGTTTTAAAAAGCCGATTGAAGAGTACCTGACGGCTATTCAACGTAGCATACTTTGCTTACTCAAGAGACCAAATCCAGTTTTCTCCCTCACCCCCTTCAGCAATTATAAGGTTATTTCTTCTTTCTTTGTCTATTGTGAAGAGTTGGGGAGGAATGGGAGGGAGGGGTCTTTGCCTTTTTTTTCCTTTTCTTTGCACCATGCATACCATTATCAGCCCCTCTTTTCTTTTTTGGAAGTACTAATATTGCAGGGAGGGGGTGAGAGCGGTGGAGAGCGCAGAGGTGGTTGGGCAAGCGCTTGCCTGGCCGATTATCAGAGAGGCAGATCCTGCTTTATCTAGTCACAGTGGAAAGCAAAGTAAACAAGAGTTTACAATAGCTGGCCTTTCAGCCCCTTTCACTAACAGCTTCCTCACCAGCATTCAGCTGAGTGGGAGAATGTGTCCGGAGTTACAGCGGGCCATCTCGCTGCTACAACACATGGCATTCTCGCAGATTTGAACTGGAGGAAGCAGCGCTGTTTGCAAAGGTCAAAAATGTGTTAAAGAAAATGTGTTAAACAAAAAAAAAAAACAAAAAAAAAACAGACGCACCAAAGCATTCTGGGGGATGAAGTAGCCCAACTGTCATCTTTGATTCAGATGTACCACCACTGAGGAGTGTATGTGTGGGGGGTTATTTGGATATTTATGTCTGTGCCGTTAAGTATGCACATATGATTATTCCCGCACGCTTGCTGGCACAGATCGAAAAGTAAATATCCATATCATCACAAAAGATATTTCAGAGTGAGGAAAGAAGAGAGGGTGGGGGGCAAAGCACAACAACCTTAACCATTTTCTTTATTATTGCAAATGAATTGGCAAGGCAACATTTCTTGCATGAGCGCTTGTATGATATGGGGCCTGGCACAGCGAGAAAGGGAAGCCCCCCCTCGCATCTTAGACGCGGCACAATGAGAATGCATTGGATTGGAATGCCTCACCGATCATAGCGGAATCAGAATTTCCAGCAAGGAAAATCTTTTCATGGTGAATTAGGGTGGTGGAGGGAAGAAAAATGGTAATGAAAAAAAAAAGAAAAAGAAAAAGAAAAAAAAAAAAAAGGTATGCATGGCTCACAAACAGGGTTCCCTCGGCTTGGCGCGGCAGATTTAAGAACTTTAGCTAAAGCTAGGCAGAATAGAATGTGGAAAATTGAATTTACTAAACAATTAAGCTTTGAATTAATCTATATCCTGCACAGGAGAGAGCGAGAGAGGGAGAGAGAGAGAGAGCAAGAGAGAGAGAGAGAGAGAGCGCAGCTCATTAAGGGGACAGAATAAATCAAGTGTGTATGTGTGCAGTGGGACAGCTCTCTCCCTCTCTCTCTCTCTCTCTCTCTCTCTCTCTCTCTCTCTCTCTCTCTCTCTGTTTCCTGGAGCTTTCTGTTTATGCATCTTTTCACCTTGTGGATTTACATATCCCACATTTTTAAAGGTGGACCTCGGCTTTGTGAGCTGCGGACTTGTTGGCACAGGGTGTGTGTTTTCTTTGTCGTTGTGAGTCTTGAGGTCAGTGTATGTGCTTTTGTTAAATAGGGACTGTGAGTATGGCGGCTCTCTGATGTTTGCATAAGGTAGATAAAAACTATTTGTGTCAGTGGGTGTGTGTTTGTATCTGTTTGTGTGTGTGTGTGTGTGTGTGTGTGTGTGTGTGTGTGTGTGTGTGTGTGTGTGTGTGTGTGTGTGTGGGTGTGTGTGTGTGTGTGTGATGTGTGTACAAGCAAGTGACCAAAAAAGTGTGCACATGCTGTGTGACCTGTGTGTACTGCGTGTGTGGTGTGTGTTGTGTGTGTGTGTGTGTGTGTGTGTGTGCGCGCGCGCACGTGTTGTGTGTGTTTATGTGTGTGTGTGTGTGTGTGTGTGTGTGATCTCAGCTGTGTGTGTATTAATTGCGTGTTAGATCAGTGCTGGGCCTGTTCTGTCCAAGGGTGGCCTGTGATTATAAATAAACTCCCTGTCCCCGTGGAGATGCCACCAGGCCCTGTCTCAGCCCCGCCCCCTTTCCCATGGGGCCTCAGCGGCCACCTCCCAGCAGGCAAAGTGCTCTTTTGTTCAATTACAGCTAATGCAGTAGTTTGCCATTTCCCCCTCATCTTTTCTAATTATATTTTCAAGTGGAATTTGTTACAGAATTAAAACAAAAAGAAAATGGAAAAAAAAAAACACATCCTTTTTGCGAGCTGAGGCTCTTGGGTTCGACGTCCCCGGGGTGCTGTGCTATTCTTTTTCACAGAGCTCTGAATAAACAAGTTCTACTCATTTTTTAAAAGCTGCACTTTTGGAGGAGCTGGCAAAAACCAGTGTTAACTGTTTGCGTGCTGAGCATGTGGTCTGGATTACCTCACTTCTGATGTTCTCTGGAGTTACTCAGTCATGCACGGGTGTTTCATTTTTCAGTGTTCTACCGTCCCCACGGTCAGCAAAAAAGAATTTGTAAGAGGTGGAGAAAAAAAAGACCCTCTTGGTATCTTATCTCTGTTAAAATCAACATTTATCTACCCAATCACCGTCCTAGTCATGCCTTTGTGCAGTGAATTTCCTCTTTATTGCAAAGCCTCAAAGCCTAATTTGGAAAACAACGATTATATCGTCCATGTAAGCACTGGATTATAATTTCATAGCCCAGGAACATCAAATGGGCTCTAATAGACCCCAAATGTGTTGAATTTGCTGACTTGTATTTTCTTTTCTGTTATTTTATTCCCCTCTGCATTTTGTTTAAAACAAACCCTGTGTGATGAATTAATGTCTACTTTTTTATGATGCTAAACTCGGCTCCAAATCCTCCTCACACAGGCAGCGCTGCTCGTAGTATTCCAATTGAAACCAGTTGTTCCCCAGTGTGTTTCTCTCCTCTCGTCTTCCGTGTGGGTTTCTATCACTCATTTCGTCACATAGCCCTAAAAGCGCGATGCAAACACCACATTGCCCCTTGATATCTGCTTCATTTGATTTGACAGAGCAAAGATAGGCTCACGCGGGCGGTAGAGGAGGCTCGAGTAAGTGTTTGCGCGTGTATGTTTTGTTTGTTGTGTGTTTGTTTGTGATAGCTGGCTGTGTGTGATAAGGCACAAGATCCCATTTCCTTCTATTTTGAAGTCTCTTTTCTCTCCTGTCCTCAGCGCTAATGTTGCTTTTCAGAGGCACTGAGAGATAAGAGGTAACATCTGGTTTAGTTTCAATATTATGTAGCAGCTTCGCATGGGACAGAGTGTGATTTGAGTGTGTATATGTATATGTGCATAAATGTAAGCACCGTATCTGTGGATGTATGTCTGTGTGAGGGATCTTGATTTTGCTGTGTGTGTGTGTGTGTGTTCCTTTTTCATCCTGTCTGGACCATTTGCTCCCTACGTTGTGCAGCTGACACTCATCTGGCCTAAGACTGTCCCTTACCCTTACACACACGTGTGCACACACACACACACACACACACGGCTTACTATATATAAACCCAGGTCTCCAGAGTCTATCTTGTCTAGTCAGCTGCTTGTGTTTGATGACACAAACTAGTCTCGGTTTAACATCAGTCAAGTCGGTCATTTGCTATTTTTCTTGAAGACGGGGACAAATGACTAAACGCCCACTTCTGTGGTAATACTTGAACTTCTTCATTTGTCTTTATAAAATTTTAACTCGGCGTCAGTTCGGTTGCTCAGGCAATATTTTCGTCTTCTATTTTGTTTGAGGAAAGACTGTGGGAAAACTTCAGCTTATTTGGTTATGTCTATGTCTTGGCTCTGCTTCCCAAAATGAAATTTAAATCTACATTAGCGGGATTGGACATGCATTTTTTTGTCATTTGCGAACAAAACTGAGGATTTATACTTATGTAGCAATGCTTCAGTTAGTTACCTCTCTCTCCCTCTGTCTCTTGGTCTGCTCTGCTTAGATGACATCACTCCCTGGCGCTCGCTGCGGCCTATCTTAAGTTGTAGCTGTTTTGTATTTTCATCTGCTAGTGGTTTGAGCCAAATGGAGGCAGCCGTGGATTGCATGCCTCAGAAAGCTGGGAACTAATACAACATGTTCGCTCGCTATTCGTCTGGGCCTTTCTCTTCATCGAGCCCCAACAGTCCTCATTCCATAAGATTGTTGCAGGGGCTCTCACACACTGCGTGACTGGGTCGAGGGCGGGCAAATTATGAATTTTGTTTGTGTTTTTGTGTGTGGGCTTTCTTCCACATAATGTACAGCTTATGTAGGCAGAACAGAAGATGATAAAATATGCACGATTAAAAATATTACAAATAAAATCAACACAACTAAAGATGGAAGAAAAAAAACAAGGAGCTGACATTACATCAACTTACTGACCTCTCTCTCTCTCTCTCTCTCTCTCTCTCTCTCTCTCTCTCTCTCTCTCTCTGTGTACGACAGACGTCCTGGAACAGAGATCATGACGACACGGCGTCCACACGCTCTGGAGGAACACCGGGACCGTCCAGCGGCGGTCACACATCACACAGCGGCGACAACAGCAGCGAACAGGGTATGAGACTGAGTTTCTTTATCTGCTGTTTGCATCTTCTTCATATGTATCAGCTGGAGGAGATAAAGGGGGTCAGAGGCTCGGTGTAAATGCAGGACAAACGTCCGAGTGTATGGCGTCAGCTTGGTTGTATCACGAACATCATATATACACACGATTGGAAACTTCATTATGCAGCCAGGTGAGGTGTGGCAGGGCTTAGTCAGTCTTTGCAACAGCTCACAGTTGCTGCTAGTGTCTCTCAGAGAGGTCAGAGGTCACGGTCAACCATGTAGGATCTCTTCTGGGCCTGGTAAGGATGCTCTGTGGATTTACTTTGGTCTAGAATATGGTTTCAGTTTTTCTTGGTGCCACCCTGGCAATTGTAACTTTACATTTGAGCATATTTGTAGCTGTATATGTGTGCGCCTGTATGTACTGTATCCCAGACTGCACAGGTCATATTATATGTACTATTTGATTACACTTTGCAGAACTCTCTACCAAGTTGACGGCTCTTTTGCTTTCATGTCTTAGTTTTTCTGTCATTACCCATTATACTCGAGGATTCAGGTTTCAGGAATATTTTGATGTTGTCATATGAAAACCACCATAAAGCGGTGATGGTGATTTTCATGTTTTTGTATTGTGTGAAGGATTGCATACACATGTTAAAGGAAATTCAGGCCTATAAATACATTTCAGATTCTTCAAAGGATATTATGAAATACACAGCTAAAAAACAAGGCTGTTTTTTTTACAGTATATGGAAAGCAGCTGACAGGTCGGAGACGTTTTTCTGACACTGATGATTAGCCACTTCTCAAATTAAGAAACAATGGCTTTGTAGCCCTTGAACTTATTCTAGTCACAAATTTTCTGGATAAGAATCAGAGAATTTTAAATGTGGAAAAATCCAACATGTGCACAGACTTTGATTATAATTTACTTTTATTTTTTATTCAATGATATTCTTTTTAGCCTCAAATTTAAAGAATCTAATTTATTAGTCTACACTCCCTCTTTGACTAGACAACTTGTGTGTGTGTGTGTGTGTGTGTGTGTGTGTGTGTGTGTGTTGAAGAGAGGCAGAGAGTGAGAGAGACAGCAGTTGGAGAATGGGTTGGTGGTGGTGGGGCGGCGTTGCAAACAAACTGTAGGCAAAAAAGCAACTTCATATATTATTGAAGGCGATGTCAAGGCGAGCAGTTTGCAGGGTTGCCAGTGCCAGGAGGCAGAGCCTGGGCGGGAGCAGAGAGCGCCGCCATGCCTTCCACTCCAACGAGCAGCCATTTATATAGTCAACACACACTCTCTGTGTCTTTGTCTCTCTGTCTGTCTCTTCCTCTCTCTCTCTCTCTCTCTCTCTCTATGTCTTTCACACTCATTCTCTCTCTCTCTCGCTCACATTCTGTTTGTCTTTCTCTCTCGCTCTTCAGTAATGCTCGACAAGGAGCTGAGGGACTGAGAGGTGAGACATGAGTTGAGATAAAAATAAAAGATGGACAGACAGATGATGTGGAAGAAGAGAACATACTAAAAAATAGTGAAATCACAGTGAAACAGGGGAAGACAAATGAATATTGTGTGTGTGTGAGTGAGTGTCAATGTGTGTGTGTGTGTGTGTGTGCATGCACGCTTCTGCCTCTGATGACTAATGGTCTGGGGCAGCCAGGCAACATCTGATTGGTCGCTCTAATGAGTGTGCTCTGTGCCGAGTTTGGGCTCCTGCTTCTCTGACCTTTGCCCTCTATTGACCAAACTGACACTTCATTTTTCACATCTCTCCAATTATAGGCCCACTCCTTATGTCGACCCGCCTCCTCTCACTCACTCTTTCTGTCTCTCTCCCATCATCATCTCTCTCTCTCTCTCTCTCTCCATCTCCTCATACCTCCCTTTTCTCCCTGCGACTCTCCTCGGCTATTGTAGGGGTTTGTTTGTTGTTGACGTTCATTAGAGGGTAAAACGTGGGGTAGTGTGTGTGTATGTATGTGCACATTCTCTCCATGCGTCGGTGTGCGTCATCTTAATGAATGAAGTGCTTTGATTTGTCAAAGTGTTACAGGAGAGTTTGGGGGCCAGATATGATTTGTGCATGTAGGTATGGGGGTATCTGCAGGTCCTGAAACATGTGAGCTACGTTAGGTGACTTTCAGAGTCGTTGAATCACATAAACTCAGGGATTTAAGTCTTAATTTTTTCAGTTTCGTGTGTATCTCGTGTGTGTAATCTCAAATTAATAAAGAGCTGGTACACCAGTTTTTTATATAGAGCACTTTTGCATATGTGAACACAGCTATATTTATTATGACTTTATTGATTATCATTTCTGTATAAAGTCTTTAAACTTTCATTCACTGTTCTCTCGTGGCTGCATGAGCATACTGAGGTTATTATCACAGCGTATTAATGTCCACGGTTTTGAAATGAAAGCTTTAATAATCACATGTGGGTATAATGTTCAGCTGTCCCCATACTTTTGGCCATGTACTGTGCGTTTGTTAATTCAGGCTTTTCCACTTGCTTTAAGTTCAGATCCAGCACTAAACAGCTCTGTCAGTGTCTTCCTGCAGCCTGCAGATACCCTGATGTCGGCTGGTGCAAGTGTGTGTGTGTGTCTGTGTGTGAGATTGTTTTGTTTATGTGGTGTTTATGGTGGTACACACACACACACACATGCACAAACTGTGTGCAGAGCATCAGGACACAGTGACAACAGTAAATACCGGAGGACATCTTGGACTGGTTTCAGGTTTATATGGGTTAAGCGCTATCACTGCCACGTCATATTGGCTCTGGCAAATTGTGTGTCAGTCACTTGGTAATCCCAGTAAGCTGGTTATTTATCTGTTTGGCACTTTGCTCGCTCCCTCCCCGACAGCTTCACCCCACTGTCTTTCCTCCCTCTCTCTCTCTCTCTCTCTATCTATCTCTCTCTCTCTTGCTCTTTCATCTTCACATCCTCCCTCTCTTCTCCAGTTTTCCCTTGTCTCCCACCTACTCTCGCGTCTCTCTCTTTCATTTTGCTCTCAGTCGGTTTCTCTCTCCTTGTGTATCCCCGTGCTTTTCTCTCTCTCCTCCCCCTTTTTTCTTCCATGCCTCCCACTCGCTCTTAAACACTACCTTTGTTTATCCTTCTTCTTTCCCTTTCTCTCACCTCTCTTTGTTCCTTTCGCGCTCTTGTTCTTCCCCATCTCTCTCTCTTCCATTTTTTCATATCTTTTTCCTCTTTATGTTTTTTTTCATCTAGTCATCTTTCAGCTTCTTTCTCAATCATTCTGCTCTTCCTTTTTCTTAATCCATCTCCCACTCTTTCCTTTTACCTTCACTTTGTCTCTTCTTCTTCCCCATATCATTTCTTTACTCATCCTCCTTCTCTCTTTCTGTCTCTAACCTCTCTCCTTATTTCATTTTCTTCATGTTTCTGTTATTTCTAATCTTATTTTCCCCTACCTCTTTCTCTCCTCTACCTTTAACAGATTGCTTTCTCACTGACCTTTCCCTCTGTCTCTCTCTTACACTTTCTTCATTTTCTTCCCCTCTGCCTGTAGAACTGCACAGCTAATAGCCATCTTTCTCCTCCGTCTTCCTTTCATCCATCCTTCAATCCAGCCCCGTTACTCCTTCTCCTAAGTCTTTCAAACCGCGTTCTCACTCGTTCTACACCTCCTCTCGCACTCAGTCTTTCTCTAACCCCTCCTGGTTTGTGTCTCTGTCGCCCGCTCCATGTCTGCCCCCTTCTCCCCTCCATCCTGCCCCTCCAGCAGAGCGAAACAGCTCGGAGGAAGGATGCTGGATGGTCGAGGGCCTTTAACTAGTGAACTCCAGTCTCCTCTCTCTACCGGGCTTTATTCTGAGGCTGTTCCTGAGATAAACACATGCTCTGCTCTGCCCCCTTCTCTGAACGGATCACTGCCCACTGGTATAAAAATCCCCATCTCTACCCGGAAATGTAGCACTCGCGCTCTCAAATGCAAGAGCTGCAGGAATCATGAGGAGGTCAACGCATTACGTAAGATCAGAGGTCTCTGCATGCGCGTTGTGGAGCTCGATTGCAGGAGGAGAGGCTCTTTCCGAAGCAAAGTTATTGATAATGTGACAATGAATGATAACTCTTGGACCTTTTACTCATCTGCAGATGTTTTGCAGTGCTTTTGTGTCCCTGTGATAATGTGCACAGTTAAAAAAAAAAATTATTTCTGCATGTGTTGACAATGCTCACATGCTAAGCTATTCGTTATGTTGTTTATGCTTTGACCACAATGGCGATGGTATTTTTTAGCACTAAATTCCATTGGCAGTTGAAAAAAATGGAGGGAGGATCACATTTGCTTCACACATGTCATTAAAATCAGTCCTGGGTGTCTCCTCTCTCCCTAAAGAGCAGACAAAGAAGAAAGCCTCTTATTTTTCTCCTCCCTTTCTCTGGGAGATCTTTGTAAACATCCAGCAAGCTTCGACAAGGAGAGTCGGAGAGTGGCCCTGTAGTTAATTAGTCCCACTCTATTAGCCCAGCTGTTTGTTAGCTAGTTCCTACCAACGGGCCTCTTTGTCTAATACCCAGAAGCCCTCTGGAGAAGCCTCATTGTAACTCTTGTGCCTTGGATCATGCTTCTCTGTGAAGAGTAATGCTCGAAGGGCAGAGGAAAAGCTAACAGATCATATATGCATGCGATGGAAGGGGTGGGGGGGGTCCCTCACGGACATGAGTGGGCCTTCTCTTTTTCTCCCAGTATAAAGTACTCCTCTTTGCCTGTGTGAATTTGTAAGGACACCCCTTGGCTTCTCAGAGGGCCTGGCGTGCGAGGGAAACAGAATAACATTCAGGCAGTGAATCGGGCAGCTGCAGCGATGTGGATGCGAGTCGAGCAGAGGAGCGGAGCAGAGTGTTTGCTCTGTTTTTGAAAGCTACAGGGTTTCCCTCTCCGCTTGTCAGAAACATCCAGGGAGTGAGGCGATGACTGGCGATATTAGATATGTATCACCAATTACCCAGACCGTTTGTAAAGAGTACAGTG